CCTTGCTTTCCGATCCGCGCCCTCACATCTGCATCGGATCCACCTTTCTCGTCGATGATGCTGCCCAGATATGTAAAGGTGTTAACGTCCTTCAAGGTATCTCCATCAAGAGTGATTTGGTTGTTGCCTGTTGTGTTGCATCGGAGAATTTCGCTTTTTCCTTTATGTATGTTGAGACCTACTGCTGCTGAGGCTGCTGATACACTAGTCGTCTTTACTTGCATTTGTTGTTGCGTGTGAGATAGAAGAGCCAGGTCATCTGCGAAGTCCATTTCGTCCAACTGCATTCTAGCTGTCCATTGGATACCGTGATTCCCTCCAGATGTCAACGTCTTCATAATCCAGTCGATCACCAGGAGAAAGAGAAAGGGTGAGAGTAAGCAACCTTGCCTGACACCGGTCTTCACCTCGGAGGAGTCTGTTAGCTGTCCTTTATTTACGATTTTGCAGTTGAATCCATCATAAGAATTCCGTATGATGTTAACTATCTGTCAAATAGTAAAACAAAGAAATTTGATCAGGTTCATTGTTCGCTTGTTTTTGCTTTCTAATTGCATTTAACTGAAGCTAATGGAACAATTCAAATTAACAATTTTTTATTGTAACTGTGAATGAAAAAAACTGTTATGACTCGATAGGAAGAAGTTTTATTAGACGTTAAAGATGAATCGGAAGCCAAATATCTAAATAAACAGTTATGGATGATTCACTTACTTTAGTCAACAGTTAAATTTGAATGAATTGAACTAGGGCATTATTTGACCATTAATTAATCAATAATTGAATGTATATGGGAAGATTCACCATATCAATAGATTTTAAACTACTTTAACTAATAAATATCACTAAATTATTTTGTTATATGCTTATTCCTTTTGAATAATTCTATTTTAACTGATTGGTCAAATTAATTTGTGTCGAATTATTAACTTGATGATTTCTTTCTAACTTTCAATAATTATCGCTAAATAAAGTGGGATTCAAATATTCTAGATCTAATGTAATTATTATTTAATAGATAGATTGATGAGTTAAGTGCTGCATAGTCATCGCTACCGGTGTATGATTAGTTCTGATTTGTTTTTTGTTTTTCTGTAGAATTCATCAAAGAATTCATTGATAACTCATTTTACAATTCAAAACCATGTTCAATGATCAGGTGTATCGGGTCTAACTTCCTTTCAAGTGACTTTAAATGGTAAATGTAACATCAGAACTAGATATAGACAGTAAATTTACTAACTTTTATAACGACTATAGTACTCTATTGCTCACCGACTTTCAAAATTCATACACTTTTGCGAGACTTTGACAGTTTATATCAAACATTTATGCAGAAAATAGTCCGTGTTCCATTGACTTCAGGAAAACATCAAAACATTAAATTCATTTACGTAGTAAACTTACATTTAGTTTTATCTACCAAACAAACTTCATTTGAGAGGGAATATGCACTTCACATTTCACCATTACCAAAATCAGCTTGAGAGATTACTCAAATCTTTGAAGAATATTGGTCGATCCTACTAGCTTTTAATATTTGGCTAATTAACAGCGGTCAAAGCTTGTACCCAAAAAGCGCTCAACCGAATAAGACAGTTAACTTGAAAACAAGGTTTTGGGGACATTAGATCCCCAGAACTCGCTTGATAAATGCCTTAACTTTGGATTTTATTCATGAGCTGACCAGTTGACTTCGAGATCGAATTTCTCACCAGGAAAATCTTTGGCTGTGATTGGTTGGTGTGTTATTTTAGCATGCCATTTTTGTGATTTTCCCAAAGACGTTTCTATGATGTATAAATAAACGCGGTTAGTGTGCTTCAGATCATTTTATTTGCTAGGTGTTTGTAGAATACACTTTCTACGCCATATCAAGACTTTTTCTTCAGTTAGTTCGGGCAACGGATTAGATTAGCTTACCGTGTCACTGGGTCTCGTTCTCATTTATCGACTAAGGTTAACTCGTAATAGTTTCAAGCATATCAAGTGACGAACGTAACACAAGGACAAATGAAGACGACGAAGTCATAGAGGAAAACCAACCACAAATAAAATCAACGGGACAAACTGACTTAAGGTGTATGGAATAACCTAGAAGATCACTTCTAGATGAAGTGAGTGCTGACAATATTGTCTAGAACGATGGTGAAAGCTCCTCGATTAAACCATCTGCCAGAGAGAACTCAACAAAACTAAAAGTATAATTTCTTTTGTTTATAAGCATATTTGATAAGTTTCTAGCCAAAATATTCTCTTACTACTGATTATTATCTTCAATATGTCAGAAATATCTATAAAACTGAGGCAAAAACTCTTAAAAAATATTGTATCCTTTTTCTTATGTTACACTTTCCACCACCTTCAGACTGATTTTGTTTCTGAATTTTCGAAATAAATTATTCTTTGTCTGATATTAATCAGTTTTGAAATATTATGTGATTCTATGACAAACGCACATAAGGCAGGGGATAATTTTATAATCTGACCCAAAATTCTAGTATTTGCAGTCACATGACTATTGAATTATTGACTGAAAATATTTATTATGTCTGCATCGTTTTATGGTGTTTGTAGGAAATGATTGTTTTATAAATATTTAACTGTGTAATTCCATTTTCGAAATAGTGCATTCTCTATCTTCAATTCTGATCCCGTTGTAACTATTAGGGTACGTAAGGATTAGTTCTGTGAATCACCACTTCGTTTATTATATTCAGTCTTATTCCTACTTTGAACAAGTTACATTTTCTTTGTTTCTACTTTCTCACCCATTTGTAACAAACTAATATGATTATTTAAATCTACATCGAATTTCAACGTATTATGCTAATATGTCGGTCACATGTAGACGGGTAGATGATTAAGTCGTCTAAGGGAACACCTGGTTACCTATCGGATTCCATCCATAAGTCAGGGTTTCCTTGCACAAAGCCGAAAATTTAAAATTTGCCTAAAACCATCAATTTAAAATAAGTAGTCACTAATATCATCTTGGTAACATCGAAATTTTATCTGAGAAGTGATGACAATATTTCTTTTCTTACTGAAATCCACTAAGTTATTTCATTGCAAGTTTCTAAATATTATTTCAAACATAGTTTTCGATTGCAAAGTTATCTGAATTGAAAAATTGTAGGAAACTATGAAGTATGAGAAAACTTCTTCATCGTAACTCAAGAGTCTTCCTTAGCATGAACTGAAGATCCGACATGAGATTAAAACCAGTCATTGGATAAGTATTTCTGTGATTAAATTTTAGCTCTCTCCAGCTGAATGATTTCCTATTTAGAAAAGCCATCAATTGGTCATTGAGCAAAATTATTACAGCATAATAGTTCTACATTAATCTGAAGTAATTGTTCTTTTAAATAATGTGTATTTGATGAAATCAACTACGACTAATCGTAAAACCACATTAATAGATTCATCTTAATTTATTAAATATTTGACATGAATTATCTTAAATGAAATCGAAATTATCATAGTATAAAGCCATTACTCCTTGTTTGCAATTGGTAAAATAGATTTGTGAAGAATAATTTTTCCATATAATGAACATGATTTACACCACAATGAGATATCAGTTTTTCAAAAAAGGCTTTGAAAACTAAGCAACCAACAATAGCTATTTCATTGTAGTATTAGAATTCTCATGAGAAATGTTCGGTACCTAATATCGCAATAATTGTCAAAAGTACACTAACTTAGCAAAACTAAAATAAACATATGAGTAAAGAGTATTGAGAAGATTGCAAACATTTCATTGTTTTGAATCTGATCTTAGCTAGACTGCCACTAAAAACCTGGACCTACTGAATAGCTTATTCGTCAATGTGTGGGACTTCTCGACTGTATATATTCATAACATCGCTTCAGTGAGTCGAAAGTAGGGCTTTAAGTTTTGCGCAAAAACTTTTAATCACTAAACCGAGATCCGTTGCAATACATTTCTAACTTTAATCAATTTAAGATATTATGTAACCACCTTCTACCGAGTCCAGAGTTCTAGTAAGCAAACGTCATCAACTGAATCCGACCATGTCAGGTGTGAGAGGGTTTTCCATCACAGATTGACTTTAAATGATTGTCAAAAGAATTTGGGCTTCATTCGATTTACTATAGTTTAATAGATACCATACTTGTGGTTTACATATATAAATTCTCTGTTCTGAAGGTGAATGAGAAGAATTCCACAAAGCAGCAATAATAGTTTCAGTTTATACTAAATGAAAAGTACGCTCTCGTCTTCCTGAACCTAGATTCATATAATCATTTTCAACAGTCACATTTATTCTACAAAAAAATTAATGAAAGCTTAATTTTACATAAAAACATTTGATACAGTATAACTTCAGTGTTACATTTAAGTAGCTGGTTATAAGTTACTGGACGAAATATTTTCTGGTTAATTCTTTGACTGCTCTGTGACCAATTACATCAATGCAACATTCTGGGGGGTTTGAGTGCTTGACAATAGTTTTGAATTTCAGCGGGAACAAAAAACAGGATAAATTGAATACTGTCACCAAATCCATGGTTTGCGTTCATAGATATAAATAATAAATAAATTACCACACCTAACATCAAGTGACACATTATTCCAACACATCATACGACCAGAACTCACAGGTTTAATTATTTATGTTTATTGGAAAATCTTTATGCAGTTTGAATCTTTTAACATAGTGAAGACAATTTAAGCTGTAATACATGGGTTATTTCGATAAATTTTTTTTTAGTTTGCAGTAGTTTATAGTTAGGAAAAAAACTGTCTTTAAATTGTAATTTATAAAAAAATGTACTTTTCTCACATCTTTTTGGAAAAGCAGAATATGTTCGTGAATACTCCAAAATCAGCTTTTTATTATGACATCTCAAAAGATGAAATAGACATCATAGGCGTATTTGATGAAAATGTTGTAGAATTATGACCAAAATATATCCTACATGGTACAAATATCATTTCATTTTGTTCAGTAAATGTTATAAATGCTTTTTTATTTTGGTGGAACAATTACCACTGGTATATGAGCATGATGTAAAATATAGTCCGAAACACTTCCAAGAAAAGTACGTCGAAGCAAACCAAGACCTCTATTTCCCATTATAATCAAATTTGCATTATGATCTTCTATTGATTTTAATAGAGCTGTACCAGGCCGATTGTCAACATGAATAAATGCTTGACAGTTTATATCATACTTTTTCGCTTCAGCTATATACTTTTTCCCTAATAACTTTCCTTTGTCGATACTATCTTGCATTATTTTAGTAATATCATTTAATGGTGGAGTTTCCATTGCTAATCCGACTGCAGGTGTAGCATAAACCGGTTCAACAATATTAATAAACTTCACAATATCATTTGGACTTTTCATATTATCCAAATACCAGTGAAATGCTCTGTCAGCATGTTCACTTCCGTCAATCGGTAAAAGAATTACTCTTTGTGTCGCAGTTGTATCACTCATCTTATGAAAATGTTCAGTGAATTTAGTGCAATATTTTATACCACAATACCACAAGGGATGTTTATTTGGAAAATCATATTGGTCAGGGCTGATTATTCTGATTGGTTTTTGATTGGTTCACTGTTTGACCTTGACACCGTCCAATAAGCTTGGTTTGGTTGCCTAGGCTATCATGATCAAATGATAGACAAACATAACTAGACTAAAAATACCCTCAAAAAGTTAGTTATATAGAAATTAGAATAAATATTTGGAAAGTTAACCACTACTAGGTAAATTAAAGAGTTCGGTTTTAATTTTTTTTACGAGGCATCATGTTACTTAACGGAAATGAGATTAAGTAGTGTACGAAAGCTATGATTGGTGCTAGAAGTTTACTTTTCAAAGTAATGGATCATATTAAATAAATTAATGAATAGGCAGTCATTGTATACAACAAGATCAGTTCTCCATAGAGGCAAATCAGTCATGGATTATTGACACTATTTCACAGTATTTTAAACTAAATAAGCACAACAAGGTTTACAAAATAAAATTACTTGATTTTATTACCAGTTTATCTCATCAACTGAAAAAAGGCTGAAACTACCAGAAATAAGATGATCAAGAGCAACATCTTGACATACATCACTTAATGAATTTAAGTCGGGATTTTAAAATGGGAAAAAAACATCAGAATAGTACAGAATATTAGATTGAATCATGTAGTTTTAGTCCGGAATGTTTCTTAACATAAGGTGGTAATATGTAATCATTACACAGATTGGTTGTGATTGGTGTATCCTGCACACATGTTATTTTAGAAAATTACACCTATCATGATATTACTGGAAGTTGGATATCCAACTTTAACATCTCTTTTGTTACAAACTAAATACTATCAGGGTATTTATTTGGGATGTTAGATCCCCAGAACTCGCTTGATAAATATCTTTACTTTGAATTCATTTCATGGACCGATCATTTGGCCTTGAGATCACATTTCCCACCAGGAAAATCCCTGGCTGTGATTGGTTACCGCGTCATTTTAGTGTGCTATTTTTGTGACTATCCCAAGGACGTCTCTATAGAGTATAAATAAATGCAATTCGAGTGCTTGGATTCATTGTGTGCTGGCTGGGTGTTTGTAGAATACAATTTCTACACTATATCAAGACTTCTCACTGATACCTTTTGGTCAAGGGATCACAGTAGCCTACTTGGACGCTGGTTCATTGTTTTGTTCTCGTTATTCGAATAAGGTGAATTCGTAATAGTTTAAGCATACCTAGAGTCGATCATAACAGTATCGCTAAACTGTAGTTTTAAAAATTTACAATAATTGATAATCTCGTCAAAAGATCAATTTGAACTCTCAATACAAAAGTTGAGAGAATGTAAATACTACACATCTTATTAATATAAATCAATCTTCAGATGTAATATCTTTTCGAAATTATTATAGTATGCTTCCAAGTGTTCTGTTAGATCATCTGGATATAATCTACTCTACATAGCGTAAATGTAAGCTTTTTCCACATAATCAAAGAGTTCTATACAATTAAATATCTCCCATCTATTAAATGTATATACGTGTATATGATTAAGGTGTTCATTTGTTTAATACTATACTGAATTAAATGATATAATAAGTAAGCTCTTATGAGTTTATTAGCTTACCACCTCCAAATGAATGGAAAAATTATAAGTTGAAGAGAGATTCTTATGGAATCTAATTGTGATTACTCAAAGAAGGGATGCAATGTGTTCGCCAACCAATAGTGTTACCTGAACAACTTGAAACCAAGCCTTTGGATTTCAGATTCTGGCAAAACTACAAATTTATTCTAATGAATGCTGTAAACATAATGGTTCACCATCATTTCATATTGTATCAAACAAAGATCATCCGATGGATTACATAACAACCTTTGAATAAATCTTTACTAGATTTGAATTTCAGCGGAAATAACTAAAAATTAATAGATGATATACATTCAGCTGATAATTGTTAAATAAGTTGAACAGTATATAGATTCGTTTCTAATGTTATTCACTAATATCTATAACCATAATAACTATTATTAGGTTATACAAACAAACAGTTTATGTATGTAAACAGAAACTGATAAGATTATTTATTCTATTCAATCCAAAAGTGAAAACTTCACACTTGAATAGATGTCATTTATTTCCCTCTTAATTATGAATGCGCTATTATTGTCACAGACCGATTGATTCCCATTATCCAATGAACACTTTTATATTGATTAATAAATAAACAATACTTTATGCTCACTAATTTTCATTGGTAAAGCTTTCTAGAAGTGTACAAATTTGAATAAGTTGATTAGTATGTTAAACATTCTAAGATGATTCAATTGATCAATAGTTTCATTAAACAACGATACTAACTACACTTACCAAATCGTGAATTTCTACAGACTGAATCTTCAACTTGGTACACAGTCATTATTTTGACAAATGATGATAAATGGTCCAGTTGATTTACTTTTTAAACAACTGTTACTTTCAAAATTTCACTAAATACAATTTAATTCATACAAAATCTCAGACATAAGAATCTCTCAAAGAATAAAAACAACATTACTTATCAAAGCCATTGGAAACATCATTTCCCCTTCTTTATATTAAGATTAAAATCAAATTGACGATATTTGAAGAATTTTACTAGAAGAGAAAAAAGATTCTGGAATGTATGTGGTAATATATAGTATTTCAACTCGTTTTTTAAACTTTTAACAGGGTTTCTTAAAATAACGAAAAAATTTTTTAAAATTTTCACAGCGTTTTTTAAAATTTTTTGTAATCCTTAGAATGTCAGAAATAAATAGAAAAAACAACTTGATTTCGAATGAAAAAAGAAAAAGCCTTATAAAAAAAGTTATTGAAGATGGATACAGCGTCAAGGATGCGGCATTTCTTACAGATGTAAACTATCAGGCCGCTACAAATATTATAAGGTTGTATAAAAAGGAATCGCGAGTTGAGAAGAAAAAAACAGGAAAACCATCAAATAAGAAGATATGCGGTGATATTATCAATTTTGTTGAAGAATTGATAGAATTAAACCCGTTAATAACGATGGTAGAAATTCGAGAAAAAATAGAAAACATATTTTCTATAGGCCTTTCTCTTGAATCTATGAGAAGGATAATTTATAGACTTCAGATTACTTTGATAGTTTACATCTGTAAGAAATGCCGCATCCTTGACGCTGTATCCATCTTCAATAACTTTTTTTATAAGGCTTTTTCTTTTTTCATTCGAAATCAAGTTGTTTTTTCTATTTATTTCTGACATTCTAAGGATCACAAAAAATTTTAAAAAACGCTGTGAAAATTTTAAAAATTTTTTTGGTTATTTTAAAAAGCCCTGTTAAAAGTTTAAAAAACGAGTTGAAATACTATATTTTAATCCTGTCACTTAACATTTATCTATAACTACTAATCATGTACATTAAAATGAAATCGGAAGCTAGTTTGTATAAATTATTATTATTTTTCATAGCAATAATGATACTAATCATCTTGATAGATATTTTATTCATTATAATATTTTATTACAAGGAATTTCAAACAGCAGTTGTGTGAAACATCAATAAATTCCTCGTTAACATATTATTCAAATCATTCAAAAATTATGTTATTATCATTTTTTCAATCATCAATATTTTCAAGTCATCTTTAGTGGCTTAAGTTTGCTATCAATTCAGCGGGTACTATTGTTTTTTTCGATCCATCAGATATTGAATGGATAGATTCTAGTAAATTCGTCTCACTGTTTTTCAGACAACAGACAAAGAGAAGAACATGCCAAGTGAAGTATTTCAGTTTGAGATTTCCAGTAGTTAGCTTCTCAATAGGTTGTAAGTCTTTTTTTATAGCCCCTGTGTATACAAACTAGTTAATGAAATACGAAATCTTATTTGAACATTCGTACAGTTGGAAAACAGGTTACCTGAAAGTTTGTGTGAGCCACAGTCTTTACACCATTGTAACTGAGCTAAGCTACAACACTGACAAAGAATTATCTCCTCATATTTTGATAAGTACTAGGTTAATTTAAGTATGGTTTTTAGACACATTTAGTATACATTTATTCCGGTATTGACTAATCTATTGTGAGACAAATTTGTAGTGGATTTCATGTAAAAATGGAAACACAATTCACTAAGAAATACAGTACTATATCGAGCATTACTATTTATGAATCATGAGTTTATCTAAATTTACATAACTGCGAATTGTCTGTCGAATTCTTACTGAAAATATTTGTTTACTTAAGCTCACCAGCCATAATTTGATGCTATTTCCATTGTTCATCCAGTAATTGGACACCGTGACATTTCAGCAAGACTTATATTCAATAACAATGAGATACTACTGAATGAAAGGTCAAATCAGTTGCAACGTACTGGGAATATATTTCTGTCTGTCAACTAATTGTAGTCCTGATGACCGTAGGCAGTTTACTAGAGGGACACACCTACATATTACCAACCATGTACAATGATTAGTTTGGTAATTTGCTGAGCTTTCTATTTCAGTCTGTTGTAGAGTCAATGAAACCTGTGTTCAGGAGTATATATGGAGAGTAAATAAAGACTTGTTTCATGACTAAAATAAATGTACAACAAGAAAAACAACTAAGTAACTCTGATAAAAGTAGAACAACATTGTGTGATAGTTTGGAATCCATGGGATTAAATAACTACTTATAGTTTGATTCATTGGGTGAACTTGTACAAGACACCGACGATAACTATTACTTAGTAGTATTCAGGTCATAATTTCAATTTATTTTCTTAGTACAGTATTTCTTTTATTATTCGAACTAATATATACCTTCTATTTGTATTAATAAACCTTTCATGGAAAATCGAGTCATTCACTCCTACTCTAAACATGAACATTTGACTGTCAGGTCACAAATTTGGAACAACATATATTAGCGAAAAATACTGTTTTCAATAAGATCTTCATCAGGCTTTACTCTAA